ATCTATACTATGATTTTTTTCAAAATTTGTTTCGTTTTACCCGGTTTTATTGAATTAATTGATTATGATCTTTGTACAGTTGTTATTGATGTTACTTGGTGTTGTGCTTTTATTTATTGTCATGTTGTTGCTCTCAGGTTTGAAACTTGGTCTTTCAGAGGGCTGTGTTTTGTTTGTGACATGTTCTCGGAATCGTAACTTGATCGTACACCTCTGCATAATTTTTCTACCTGAATCATGGCGATTTGGTGAGGAATCAGATTAATTTTTCTGTTGGTTTATTTTTTCTTTGGGTCTGCCGACATTTATAAAAGAAGTCAATTTGATGGTTTTCTTGCTGGGATTGGACATTTGTCTTTTGTATAAAGATATGTCTGAAAATTGCAACCTTAGTTTTAACATAATGATGTCTTTGAGTCTACGAATGCGATATTTGGTTACAACATCATTCGACTAGGTAAGGGTAGCTCTTTATCAAAATGAAAACTTGAGGTGTTAGAATTTATATTGAGCTTGCTGCAACCTTTCAAGGCTATTTGAAGGTCCGTGTCATACAGAAATATGAGGTGTTTACAAAATTTGAAGGTTTATTTTTTTGTGTATCCATGTTCTATTAATGCCTGTGGATTATTGCATATATGGCACTGTGAGAAGTAGAGAAATCTGATGTGTCTTGATCATCTTTAAGTTTCTGTTTGTCGTAAATAGAAAAATCTGTTGAGGAACTAAGGATATACATTGTCTGGAAAAAGACTTGTCTTTATCCTGTTTTCCACCGATTCATATATTTCCTCCATTTTTGTCTATCTGCCTTTAGAATAAGTAAATCGTGAAGGAATTGAGTCCTAGTTGTATTCTCGATCTTGCACGAGCAGGGATGCGTATGGGTTTGCAGTGAGACCTCAGCATTTACAAAGATACCGGGAATATGCAAATATCTACAAGGTTTCGTTTTTCCTATCTTTGCAAATTTTATTTGTTATTATTTTTTCGATTTCTACTTCATTTTACACTATTTTGTTATTACATATCGCACACGATGTGTTTTCAGGAAGAAGAGGAAGAGAGATCAGATAGATGGAAAGACTTTCTTGATAGGCAATCAAAGACCACTCAATTGCCCACCACTGATTTGTCGGCAACCAATATAAAGGCTGAAGATAGTTCCAAGAATGTTATCAGTGATAATACAAAGAAGAGCAAAAATGGACTGAAATAAAACCATCTCTTCGTTTCATAGAGGATTGGATGAGCTCTCGTGTGAAAAATGAGGTCAGTTTGATGAGCAGAGAAGAGGCATGCAAAGAGACTCTGAGGAAGAATTCCACGATTTGGATATAACAGAATCTGAGGAAGAAAGGACTTCACAGGATTGTATTTTTGATGGTTTTACCCTTTCAGAATCTCGGCCTCCATGGGAAGAGGAACTCAAATGCCTTGTTCAAGGAGGGGTCCCGATGGCACTAAGGGGAGAGGTGAAAAAAAAAATGTCTTTGATTGCTCATGAATTTTTTTATTTTTTATTTTTCTTTATTATTATTATTTGGATAATGTGTCCCCATATGGGGTTACTGGTGAAATTCTTTTCAAAATCGTTTCAGAAGTCAGTAACATAATCTGTAGTTTAATTAGAAAAAGAATTCAGTTAGAATTAAAACCACAAGTATACTTTTTGACTTCCTCTTATTATTCAAATCATCAGTCACATTATTAGTATTTTAGTAATACTACCATTATACTAACTTCATGATGATCCGATTCATATCCTTCTTATTTTCTCAAACAGATGTGGCAAGCCTTTGTTGGTGTTAGAGCTCGCCGGATAGAGAAATACTACGACAATTTACTTGATCCGAGTATCAGTGTAGAAGTTAAGAAAAATGGGCTAGAAGAAAAGAATCTCGATGCGAATTTAGAGAGTGTGGGTGTACCTGAAAAATGGAAAAGTCAGATTGAGAAGGTTATTATTTGTTTTTACTTTTCTTGTGAAGTCCTATCAAACAATGCTGCTTATAAATTGCTTAAATATAACTGTAACTAGAAATACAATTATATATTAACACAGGACTTGCCTCGAACTTTTCCCGGTCATCCTGCTCTAGACGAGGGTGGTTGAAATGCTTTAAGGCGTCTACTTACAGCATAGGCCCGTCATAATCCCTCTGTTGGCTACTGTCAGGTATTTCAACATTTTATATGTCAGTGCAGGAGATTTTTAAGGTATTGTCGTGAAAACTATCCCGATTTTTGGAGTAATTACTAATTACCAAAATTAAATAGAAACAACTCAGGAAATTTCATAACTAGAATAAGAACCCGACTTTTGATTATACCTTAAGTTAAGAGGCTAGTTTTAGTACTTTTACGAACGTAAGAGGCGTTTTTTAGATGCTTTTCACTTATAAGTGGAAAATATAAGACACATTCAATCTTCATTTTTATTTACAGAAATCAACCTTTTTTTTTTTGTGTGTGTGTGTGTGTGTGTGTTTGTAAAATTATCCTTACTGTTAATATTGGGTCCTCTGAGTTGGCTGCTTTACCAGGAGACTTTTCTTGGCGTGATCAATTTGTAATTATGATTAGGCTCTTCAAAATTTTTAATCTGTTGGTATTCAGTTCTTCTTAACACTTTCGGAATTGTAAAAATGTTTTACCCCAATAGCCAAGTGCTCTGGTTGTCGGAAGTGGAGGAAAAGACTACAAAACTATTTATCCTTATTTTTCTCAAATTTTTACGGGACGAGACTTATGTTTGTTCAGTTTTGTGCAGGGCCTGCATTGGTTACTACTAAAGATGCTGGAGATGCTGTCACACTTCTTCAATCATTAGCAGGCTCAACTTTCGATAGCAGCCAGCTCGTCTTGACAGCTTGCATGGGTTTTCAGAATATTCACGAGAAAAGATTACGCGAACTCAGAAGTAAACATCGATTAGCAGTCTTTGCTGCTCTAGAAGAAAGGTCAAAGGGACTTAAACATTTGGATATGAGCTTGAATGGTGATCCTGCAAAAGATCTTCACGAGCAGGTAGCGTAGTTATCTTCTTCCTCTTCTTCTTTTTCGATTTTTTTTTTTCAGAATTATGCTCTTCTTATTTTGTTGGAAATTGNAAAAAGAGGAATGATAAATCAATTTGTTGCATGCTTGTGCACATTAGCTGTGAAGGCTTTTTATTTTTATTACAGACTGAAGTTTATGTTGGTCGATAAGTAAAGGTTACCGGTTGATGATATTAGTGAACATATATGAAATTTTGTTCGGAAAAGAATTAAGGGGATTATGGAAATACCATTGGTATTCATTGCAGAACATATGTACTAAATCTTGGTTCAAAGCTGTTTGCTGATAAAAGATGATATATTCATAACCTGAAAGAAAAAACATCTATTCAAAAAATGTCATAATCCCACTACTCATTTTGCTGAAAAATATAAATGTTTATTTGTAATCTTCCTATATTTGTAATTTCTGTGTAATGTATAGTAAATATGTTATAATATATAATTATCTCTTAACTTTTATTTGCTACTTACAGGGCAGAGGAGCTCGAAACAGCAGTAATGGAGATGGTGGAGCATGATAATCGCAAGCAACTGAGTGCACGGGTAATTTAGGAGTCGAATATCTTTCTCGTTTGTTCAAAAAAATTTCCTTTTAAAACTTTTCAACCTAATGGCAAAGTTATGGATTTAGGTTGGGCAATTGGAGCGTGAGGTCTCTGAACTTCGACAAGCACTTCTATGCAAGCATGAGCAAGAGAATGCAATGCTTATGGTAAAATTATTGCCTTCAAATTCCTTTTTTTTTTTCTTTCTTTCAATTTTCCACTTATGATTTTTACTGATGAATGTTCACCATTTTGTAATCCCCTATCCAGAATAAGTTTTTTTTTTTTTTCCTTTTTTTTCCTTTTTCTTTTTTCTTGAATTCAGTATAGGTGTGGTTTTGGGATTATAAGTACAATTCTGAACTTCTTTTTTGTTGTTCTTATAATAAATATGTTTGTCACATTTTTTAAATTTGATGGGTTTTGACAATGTGGGGGAATAAAATTGTGAACATGTAATTGAAGTTATTTTAGCTTAAAAGGTCCACCTTTAGACAACTGAACCTCAGGGGTCAGGCATACAAAATGTTTCAGTTAATTAGGAAAATTTTCTTTTGGTCCACCCACCTTATATAATTGGGAGAGGTTCATAAGTCATTTTCATATTGCTAACTACTCCCAATTTGTTTCAAGATTTGATTTTGTCATGCACATGAAACACATATTTTATACACAAATAACATTTTATTCTGTGTGTATTTTTAGGCTGTGAGATGAATCATCATGCTCAAATAATCAAACTTCATTTTACACTATTTTACGAGTGTCATGTAAAAAGACAAATTTACTAATACCGTATAACATACACACAGGGCAAACCATTGGTCCATTCACATGGCAAATGCTTTTCCAATTTGGGCAAAAACAAACCATAAGAAACAAAATTATTAAGTCACTACTGGTAACATTTACTGTACAGAAAATTCAGCTGTGAATGATTCAAGAATTTGTGTGCTCCTAATAGAAGCAATCAACCTTAAAACCATTGAACTCTGTTAGTAACCCTTCATATCTGTTCATGAAGTTTGGTCTATTTATGTAAAAACACCAGTTAACTTGCAAAATTAAGCCAAAAAAACAGCAAAAGGTGCACAAATTAGGTTATAGTACATATTCATGCAGTTTTCACTAGCTGAGAATAAGAGGATTATTTCTTTATACACACAGAGACATTTGCCAGTGATTAGAACAAATAAAAACAGAATCAAGAGTACATACATACACTACTACTTACTACCAACTACTCTGTTTCATTCAGACAATGAAACCCAAAAAACCAACACAACACACACAACATACACATAATAACAAGTCATTAACCCCATTCCACAACAAGAACACACACCAAAAAGAACCAAGTGAGAAGTTACCCTTTTACCCCTCCTCACTTCCGGCCGAAAAACCCTTTGAGCCTCCCCCTCTCGAGCCTCTCGAGCAGCTTCTTCGCCCCCGGCACATCCATCTCGCTCAACTTCTTCAGGTACCCAATCGCCCCATACGAGACCATCAACTTCCGATACTTCTTGCTCGAGCACAACATTCCAAAGCAAGTCACCTTGTACTTCTTAGCCGTGTTCTGCTGGCTCGGGTCCAACAGCGCCACCAGGCTCGGCACGCTTTTCTCTTCCTTCTTCACCTCCCGACAATTACAAGACACACTCATCAGGCACGAAATCGCGTGGGCCCCGACTTCTCTAGCCCCGTTACTCTTCTCCTCGAGCAACCAAACCAGATTCGGAATGCAGCCCGATTGGCCCACTAACTTCTTCATCTCAACCGAGCTGCTGCTGCTTCTGCAAATTCGCACCATAGCCCAAGCTGCCGCTTGTCGGCCCATTGGTGAGCCCGATCGGAGCACGTGGGCCAGCCTCGGGATAACCACACCCGAAACCAAAACCTCGTCCGGAGCCCACCTTCGGAAATCATGGCTCGTCTCAGCTCGTCGTTACCCGAAGTGAGACTCTAAAGGCACTCGACCTTCTGCTCTCTCCTGCTTCGAACAGTTATGGCACTAGCCGGAAAAAATTGAAAAGCACATGTTATAATTCAAGTAAAAGCCAGAATAGCATTAACGAGTTAAGTGGCATTGTAAATTAATACTTCAAGTAAAAACAAGAATAACGTTAAAGACCTACAAGGAACAGAAGTCCGAGCTGTCGGTGAAGAATAAGGTGTTGCAGCAGGACACGCAGCTTCCGAAGAGTGCACTATTTTTCTAAGTATCTCTTCCTTAACTTCATTTGCTTCATGGTAAAATATCTCAATAGCAATTTTCATTCTCTCCAAATATGAGTTTTCAATGATAATATCCAAGCGTCAGCCGTAAAGTGGCGTCGTTCAAGTCTAGCTTCGGGTCCTCTTCATCATAATCAAACTCGGCCTGCAAAAAAGTGTCCAATAAAAAAAAACCCCTACAAAAATTTGTTTCTTGAGAACTCCACGACACAAACAGCCGTGACTGCGGGGGTTGTCGGAGAGATGCATCAAGGAGGTGAATGATGAAAAATTTTCGAGAATAAATCCCCAGATTTGGGCCTTTGAAATGAGGTTTGGATATATTAATTTTTCCCTAAAATTCAACTCCTTTAAATTTCTAAGAGTTGGCCAAAGCCAAATCAAATTCAATACAGAAAAATTATTCAAACAAAAAAAATTGATTTTAAACTACAAAGAGATTCGAGATTACGTTTGTTGTTCCTGATCTCCGAAATTCAATGTTGAGACTAGTAGCTTCAAGATTAATGAACCAGTTGTTAAAAGGAAAAAGAATGATGGCCTGGAGTGGACGCGATCGTGGTTTGAAGATAGGCCGGAAAGCTTGAGTTTTTTTCTCTCTTTCGGACAGAATCGATCGATCATGGTTTTTTTTATTTTTTTATTTTCTGCTGAGTTTTTGAGTTTGAAGAGGAAGACGGCGACAGGTGACCTCCTGTTGGAGTTTAACTTTTCTTTAAAAAGAAAACTTGTGTGCATTAATACCCAGGATATAAATATGTTCTCTGTCCAAATCTAAGGGTGTATATCAATTCATAAGATCTAAGGGCCTATGTTAAAATAACGGAGTCATCCCCTTACGGGACCCTAGCCTCGCCCCTTTAATCAGGTGAAACCTGAAGTTAATCTTATCGCAATTATCCATACCTTGAAACATTTCNAAGAAACCAACCTCAACCACCATATATATTTCAAGAACTCCTGCACATAAATCACTCACTCAAAGTGTCATACAGTCATTCCAGATCAAGCAAGGGAAAAAAAAAAATAATAGCACAATAATTGAAACATTACACCATTTACAAACAACGAGAGAACCAACCCCAAAATGCCGCTCACTCACACGCGATCTTGGTGTCGAAACTGCTGAGACATATGGCGAACGCCTGGAAGGCAGAGATCGGATATCGATAATCCATGGTGAAAACATCTTTCCCAACCTTCCCAAACTGCAAAATCACCCTATCATGCTCTGGGCCCGAAAGCCCGTTCTCGGGAGATGCAACAAGCTGGAAATTCTTGACAGAGGCCACCGTAACCCGTCCATGGAAATTCAAGCACCAACACTGGAGCTGCTCGTGCCACCGAGGGGCCTTGTTTCTCAACACAAGTGAGGTATTATTATTATTATTATTATTGTTATTATTATTATTATTGTCTGCTTGGCTGTTGGTGAGAGGCCCTGAGAAGGACTTGTTGAGATAGATTGATCTCGTGCGGAAGAAGGAGATGGCTGGGGAGGAATTTACACATGAGATGGGAAGATGGGTTTGTGTTGGGGCTGAGCCACCGGGTTTTATGGCGCCAGCTGGGATTGCATCCATCACGCAGTGCATTCTCCTTGGCCCTCTGCACATGAATTATAGGTAAAAAAAATGATATTTCATTTGATTGCATATGGACAAAAAGGAAAAATGGGAAGAAAGGAATAAAGAAAAATATCCTTTGATTAGCGGTTGATTTTTACAAATTACACCGAATATAGGGTGGAATTCATATCATGTCTGGGTTTGAATATTGTTTAGTGAAAACATATCTTTTTAAATTCCACAAGGCATAACAAACCCAATTTGAACTATAGCTAGATTTATCAATCATGAAGTTAATCGTCAACCCAACATGACATTGATAATATATAGATCCAGATACCAAATCTATATCCATATGGGTTATATGAGTTCATTATTATGAGTTATGCAAGTTGATTTTATTGATAAAATAAAAAGATATTTATGCATGTTTGATAATTGATATTTTTATCGATATGCTAATTAGATATTCAATCATAAGTATAGCATAAAATAACATGATAATAGTTACAACATCGTTAAACAAGCTATTTGTACCATGTTGTTAACCGTAATTCTTACACGTCTATTTTTTTAGTTATATATGTCCTATTTAATCTCGATCTAACTGTCAAACCCATACTAACCAGCATCATGTCGGCATGTAAGATTTGTGATTAAATCATCAAATTTAAATTGCATTTCACGTTTCAGAGTCTTCAATTTATACCTTGCTCCAAGCACATTCAACTCATATGAGATGTGAGCCACCGGGTAGTTTCCAGCATGCACCCTAGATGAAATCTGTTTTGAGCCAACCATGCGTGCGGACCAACTTTTCGCGATTTTGGCTCCCGAATGCGGAGGAAGAGCATCATACACAATGAATTTTGTCCCCAGAAAATTAGATCTGGTGAAAAGTTTTGGGAAAAGAAAAAAGATCAGAGCCTCTTGTTCAAACGTTTTACTTTGAACTTAACTACTAAAGTCTAAAGCCACTAATCACCTCAATTTTCCTATGTAAGTGTCATTCCCTTTTGACGTGTCATCAGCCTGTAGAGAAATTATGTAGTCAGTACATGTGGGTCGCCTACACTTGCGCGCAGCTAGTAGAAACTTGCCATTGTCTGCAAGAGCTGTCAGCAAATATAACAAAGAATGGTAAATAAGATTCACTTCTAGGATGCTCAGAATTGACATCAGTAGCAAAAGAGAAGAGGAAATATAGGTAACACTATGCACCTTGACTTAAACTCAGAAAAAGATAATACGATTGAGTAGAGCGGTTCCTTTTTATAAAACACTGGAGAAGAGATTCTCTTGGGCCAGGCTGCGAAACAGAAAACCTTATGCATGTGAAATATAGAAATTGATTTTCCAAAATACTTTAGTGCCAAACGTAGTAAGAAGTTCTAGGTTGTAAACAAAAGCACATATTAACATTCTGCCCATGAATAATGCACTATTATTCTCCCATTTTATTGTAAAATATGTATAGATGTAGAACAAACTATGTCGATATATAAGAAGAATGTTCGCATAAAGGATTGTTCCATTGTATATATGACCTAGTTGAAAGTTACATAACAACAGAATATGTTAATCTAACAGGAAACCCGAACCAGTTCTTATATCCTTCTCTTTTACCATAAAAATCCTATCAATGAATGACAATTATTTCAATCCAAATGTTTCCTGCTTTGATCCCTTTCAGTAGTAAAAAGGTTTCAGCATTCATAAGGGAACAAATCACTACATATTGGATTGTTATACTAGTGAACTAAGCACTTCATAACCGTAGGAGACACTAAGGCAACACAAAAATCTCCACAACCAGATGTTGAAAATTAACACGAAATATGCAAGATAAACGTAAGTAAACCCATATTTCTTTCTTTCTTTCTTTCCACAAACCCAGCAATACTGAAACACAATACAATCCAGACAGGGAAAGGAAGAAATGATAAATCCTTAAACCCCCAGTGAAGACTTAATCCAAATTCAACAAATTAAAGAAGGAACTTTAACAACCACTCAAATCATAAGAAAAATACTGCACATTATGCAGTATTGGATTCAATATTTGTAGTAACACTGGAGCACCTACCCAATATAATCCACAGAATAAATATTCAAAAAAATGAAACCTAACAAAACAAACAACATGTGGTTAACCAAATGAGAACAGAACATACACCTAACCAAGACAGACTTCTAACAGAGTAACAAGCAAATAAGACAGAACATATTCAAAAAGATTTTCATGATGAACAACAAACTAAATTCAAAATGCCATAAACTTCCCAAACCACACCAAAACAGTAATCTAACAACAGTATCGAACAAACAAGAAATCATAAACAACCTCCAAAATGAACAAATAAGAAATAAATTCT